GTGTGTGTGTGTGTGTGTGTGTGTGTCTGTCTGTGTGTGTGTACTGCCACTGTCCAAACCATTGACGGTGGATAGAACACCTGGTCGAGGGGCCACACTATACCTGCATTCTCTGCGCCATTCCTTCTCGAAATAAAATTGATGCCTTGATGGACACCCTGCAACATCCGGAGGAGGACAGTAATACACTGTACAATGGAATGAGGCTATGATTGAATGAAATTCAATGAAGTACAAGTGACTGGGGGGGAGCTGTTCCCGGAATTTTTCTGGGAGCTAATTAAACTCGAGGCATTTGATTCTCTTACTAACTTCTTAGTACTCTGGTCTGTAATATACATCATGTGTTTTTTACGCGGGAGGCTTATGAATTTGGCTGACGGTGATTCTTCTGTCTGATGTCTGATGTCTGATGTCCGCGATTTGGATTGCAGTGGGCGGACAAGGCTGCGTACGACGAGACCCTGAAGAAGTTGGCAGGGCTGTTCAGTAACAACTTCAAGAAATTCACCACACACAGCGTGGGTGGCGACGATGAGCTCACCAAGCGCATCCTCGCAGCTGGCCCTCAGCTGTAGTTCCGATTCAGCACCTCTTTTTGGGTGCCTCCTGTCGTCATATTCATTGGGCTCTGTCGCAATAACTGTTGGCATCCAACACATTCAAATTTCGGCATAGGCTAACTATCAAGTGACTTAAGTCGTTTAGGATTTATCCATTTTGTTTGTCCGCATGTCTGTAGTAGTAACTATCACAGCGGCGCACTGCTGTACTCAAAGCGAGCCCTCCACCGCGGTGGGAGTGAAGGGATTTTTTTGCCCTTCAGGCGTGGACATTCCTTTTCTGTTGTCTCCTGCTTTAGGCAGGCGCTTACAGTGTTTGGAGCAATCCCCCTGGCCTTTGGCTTTTCGGGAAGGAAGGAAGGAAGGTGTGAAACCGCTGAAGTAGTCGGCAGATTCTTCTCGATGAGGTAGGAAAGGAAAAAACATCATCTTTTTGAAGGCTTCAGATTAGACTTCGGGTCAGGGAGGGAGATACTTTGACTCTTTGAGGTACATGACTATGATGATTGCCTTAGCTTTGAGAATTGAGTTTGACCTCGATATGGTTGTGAGCAGCCGACTTCGTTTTCATTTTGAATTTGACTTTGACCTCGGGATGCTTTTGAGGATTCAACAAGTAATGCATATATACTTCGGGACTCTTTTTTGAAGCTTTAGTTCGGCTTTCGCTCTGGGCCCTGGGATGATGGCATTCACAGAAGAACCACTCTCAAACTCTCTCTATTTTTCGCAAGCTCTTAGAATTTAGAAACTGTGACGGCGCTGTGGATAACAACTGCTCCCCTACAACAATTTGTTTGCAAACCCTATAGCGATCATCCTGCCTCTGTCCGTTTGGTCTAAGCCAGGTAAGCCTGCTTCGTATGGGTGTCATCATTGGGTATGCTTATTAGCCAACTCGATTCCGCGCATTATCCTCCTCACCGTTCTCCTTTGTCGTTTTCCTTTGCTGGCTCTGGAAACTGAACTCGGCCTTGATAACCATAACGGCCGGTCAATAAATAATAAGCATTTGTAGTCCTGGTAAGCAACAGCCATTCCTATGGCCTTGTCGAGCATCAAGTAGGCACCTGCACACCGGAGCATCCAAGTTGAGGGGCCCGGGAGTTAGGGGGTGCGGTGTTGGGCGGTGGGATGGGGGAGTCAGGGGGGGGGGCAGAGAAGGTTCCCCCCCCTTAGGCTTCGTCGCACTCTGTTCCATCACGAAGTATGGGGAAGGCAAATAGCAAATTTGTGAGAACATAGACCAACCAGGAGTTTTTTTATCCCAAAAGGTCTACAAGGACTGAACGCGACTAGAGAGGCAAGCAACAAAGCGTTTGTACAATGTCTCTACAACGTCCGACTCAGGAGGTAAACACTCAAGTTGTGACTCAACCAAATAATAAAGTGGACTGAAGTGAAACCATGAAAGTTGAGCCCCTAGTCTACCCAATCACACACACACACACACCCAACACAGGCGTCCACGCAGCCACCAACCAAGGCACAATCAGCAGGAGGTCCAAACGCATGACCTGGTCCTCAGCCTACCACTGCTACCAGTGTATCACAAACTCTTGATTATGTCATAGGTGTTGCATTACGGAATTTTGGGTTATCATATGGAATGTGATTTTCCAGTTTCCTATTGTCCTTCTCTTGAACAAATAACTACAGAAGTATCTTTCATGAGTTCCACACAATCACCTCTGATCTTGTTATCCTCCTCCTTCCTCCTTCGTGATGGAGCCATGCTTTGCAGTTCCTCTATACGTGACCCTTGTGATGCTTCTGCATGGTCAGTCGGACTCAGTCCCAAATAACATGCCAGAGGGTCATTCAAAAGCAACATGTAGGGCTGTTGTTTACTCGTTTGTTTAATCCTCTTGCTCTAATAAGAAATCATTCTACAATGTTAAATACTTTGTTCAATGTACCCTACGAAGGCACTGACATTCACTCGAGTATTGTTGATTCAAACGAGTTTGTTGATCTTTTGTTCATTTACAAGGTACAACTGATTTCTTTTTCTCTTTCCCACCGCCTACGACATATTTTTTAGCAGCACAAACTGCATGATTAGGGCCAGAATTGAAAATGACGAGCCATTTTGCATCACTAGGTTTTCAATTTCAACTTCAAGAAATGCTTGCTCAAACAGCTACTTCCCCAGCAAAAGTGCTTATTGAAAAAAAAAATCAAATATCCATAACACTTATCCAATGACTTATTACATATGCTTTCCAATCATAAGTCTCGGTCATGAGCTGTACTTCCATGCCCTTGTATTTCGTGTAAGTTTGACTTTCTCGAAATAAGTTTTAATAAAAGACGAGGGCTGGCCTTGTATTTCGTGTAAGTTTGACTTTCTCGAAATAAGTTTTAATAAAAGACGAGGGCTGTGTAACCGTTTAAGCACGCTTCAGCGCGCGAGCGGGAGCTTGAGCGTGTGAGCGCGACCTTTTTTTTTTTTTCTTTTTTTTTTTTTAACACCGGCTCCAATATATTCGTGGGGTGTAGCACGTGTTGAGAACCGCGCTCGGTGTCCCTTTTGAAATACATAGATAATAGATGAGAATGCACTCTCAAGTTCTCAACCCCCCCGTGTGGGCGCTCAATAGCGCTCAATCAAGTTTGGGCCGCGCGCGTGGAGGGGAGGTGGGGGGTCGTGCCCAAAAATAAGGGGGTAGGGTTGGGGCACGTTTTAGGGGGTTCGGTAGGCAGATGTTGGGCGGAGGGGGAGGGGTGGCAAAGGGGGTTGAGGGGTGGGACCAGGATGTCGGGGGGGGGGGGGGGGGGGGGGGGGGGGGGGGGGGGGGGGGAGGCGCGGGATGGTTATGGGGGTTGGACATGGTTGGGGATGGGGGCTGTAGGTGATGTTTGAGCAAGGAGGTCTTGCGGGGTTGTGGTTGCATCCCCTACGGCGGCCCTTATTTTTTGTCCCTTTGGAGGTGGGGGTGGCGGGTGGCGGGTGTCGGGTAGGGCATTCGTGGGGCGATGTGCCTGTATGGGGACTTGGAGGGGAGGAGGGGGGGGGTTGGGAGGGTATGGGGACCCTGGGGGGTGGGGTGGGGTTGCGGTTTGGGAAACTGGTGGGGTGGTCGGGGTTGTGATGTTTAGGCGGTCCGACCGTCCGGGGCATTGGGCGTTTGGGCGGTGTGGGAGCAGGGGTTTTAGCTTGCTGACAACCTGCGAAACCAAGGTTAGCCCACAAATGCCTACACGCCCCACACTCGTACCCTTATGCAAATGAAACTCAATTCTTAATTAAAAAAAAAAAAAAAAACACAACCCCCTAATATTCCCCTAACCCTGCAGGGTTGGGGGAATAGGGATTGTTTTTTTTTTTTATACGGTTAGGGGAATAGGGGGTTGTGTTTCTGTTTGTTTTTTTTTTTAAGTTAAGAATTGAGTTTCATTTTCATAAGGGTATGGGTGTGGGGCATCTGGGTGATCGTGGGCTAACC